CGAGGCTGCGGTGGCCGGGAGCGGCCACTGCACTCCAGTCTGGGTGACAGAGTGAGACTCCAACTCAAAAACAAAAACAAAAACAAAAAAACAGACTCATTTTGTGACCCTCATGATTCTAAGAAAACTGATAGGCTTCGTTTTTATATCTTCATCAAAGTTGTTGATTCCAAGAGTGACTAAATAAAACCTGATCCATTAGTCACCTGACTTTGGAAGCAGATATTCAGTCACAACTCAAATAAATGTATAACAACCTAGCCCAAATTGGGAACTATCTTCCAGGAGTCCAACAAACTATCTCGACTGGTCTATGAGTCATGTGAAATGTTCAGTTGTTTTGCTAGGTGTGTTCTTGAGGAGCCAGTGAGGACTCCATCTTTTCTAAGACTTCAAAGTCATCTACGCAAAAATACATCAGAATTTTGCCACGAATCACCATCAGGCTTGCCAGCCTGCAACTTCCCAGGACCAACCTCCTCCATCTTTTGGGGAAACTCTCCTCTCTCCATTGCCCTACACCTCTTCTTCCTGCACCCTCATCGCTGCCTCTCCCAGTTCTTTCAGCATTCTGTCGCATAATTTAACTCTAGAGAGCGGGTTAATTATAGGGGTTGTGAGGCTCTCTTATCTCGCCACCTATCAGCTTTGTCCTTTTTAGCTTGACATTTGCTCCCTCTGATCAAGGAATTAGAATTAAAAGGTTAAGATTAAGTGTATGCCACGCGCTTCAGGAATTTGTTGTTGTCCTTATTCCAAACATTGTTTTAAAAAAGAAAACACATTTTTCTTGATCTTAATTCTTTTGGGAATTTCATCTTCCTGGCTCTTTTTCACAGTTCCATGCTCTTCGCTCCATGTTTCCTCCTTTTCTCTGTCTTGCGTGTATTTTTTTTAAGTTTTGTTTTTTAAGTTAAATACAAGTATATGCTAATTATTTTTCAGAAAACACAGTATATTAAGATACAAATAAGGGCCCCCACCCCCAACTCTCTCTGCTCACCAAAGTCTTGGCATGGATTCCATCCAGCTTGTGCACATCCTGTGAAGGGAGGCTGTGGAAACACACCCAGTAGCACCACAGGCCTTTGTCGCTTCTTTTTTCTTCTTCAATGGGTTTTTATTCTTTACAATTTTATCACTAGAACTGGGAGTCTCTGGTCTCTACTGAGCTATCTTCCTTACACAGCTGTCAGAGACACAGCCTCTCTGAACTTCTAGAAAATTCTTGAGTGTAGACAAAATCACCAAGGTGCTTAAGGCTGCTTAGTCCCCAAAAGTCAAGTGCTCTGTTACATAATCTATTGTGCCTTGGAAAGGAAAACCCTTTGGTCTTTAAATTCCTACAAACACCAAGTGTTTTTCCTTTAGTACCAAGAGTTTGGGGATGAGAAGTGGAAAGAAGAAAGAGTGTTCTTCAACTTTTTTCCTCGCTTTAGCCAGCTGTCACTCAAGAAAGGGCAGGGATGGAGAATCAAGTAATATTACAACAGAAACATATACACTAGGGTGTATAGAAGCAGTGAATTTTTCCAGCTTTCATGCTCAGATCCTCCATTTGTGTATCCACTTGTTCGTGTATTCAACCCATTCTTCAAACTTTTCATGCTTGGGGAACAAAGGCAAAGAAGGCACACCCAGTGCTTTCCTGCAAGATGATCATGGTCTACTGGGAAAACAAGCAAGGGAAGAGCTTGGAATGATGCAGAGTGTTACATGCCACAGAAGACATTTAGATATACGGTGGCAATGTCTGCATTGTAAAAATATTCACCAGAAAGATTTTACTGAAAGCTGGGTTTCAAAGGGTAGCTGAAGTCTGAGAAGATGGTTTGGGGAAAGAAACTCTGGGAAGTCAATGGTCAGAAAAACCATCAGTGCTGCCAAGAATGTCTCTAAAATACAGTCCATCTACATGATTTCTTATAAGAACATAGGTGCCTTTTTTTTTTTTTTTTTTTTTTTTAAGCCAGGGTTCCCACTTTGTTACCCAGGCTGGAGTGCCACAGCACAATCACGGCTGCAGCCTTGACCTCCTGGGCTCAAGCGCTCCTTCTGCCTCAGCCTCCTGAGGAGCTGGGACCATAGGCGCTTTCCATCACATGCCTGGCTCAATTTTTTCCCCCTGTAGACACAAAGTCTCACTATATCGTCCAAGCTGGTCTTGAACTCTTGGGCTCAAGCAATCCTCCTGTCTTGCCCTCCCACCGTGCTAGGATTACAGACATAATCCTGGTAAGGCATAGGTGTCTTTTTCTTTTATTTTTATCAAACACAAATAGGAAGAAAAATAAATACGCCAATATGTTTATGTCCATTTCATTCACACAAAGATCAATGGCATTACCGCCTGGGCACCACAACACTTATTTCTGCATCTTTTATAATACTAAGCACATCCCAGAGTCTCCACGGTATATGGGCTGTGTACACATCTGCCTCTCCCACTCAAGCTTTAAGCCATGAAGAAGAACCCCTGCCCCATATTTCCACCCCTCACATTACCTAACTCTTAAGTATGGGCTCAACAAATCCTATTAAGCTCAAATGCCACCTGTCCACCATTCTGCATCAGCCCATCAATATTTGACCAAACCAAAGCATCCCCACCACCATCAGCAGAAGGTTACTCACCAAGCAGTGGACAACGCAGACGTTTTTGGGATTCTGTAGTAGCCAGTTATACATATTCCGACATACGGCAAATAGGTTGTGCAGACTGGGGGCCTGCCTGATGGGCCAGCTGCATTCTGAGACCTAAGGGAGCAAGGAACAGGAAATGAGCTCCCCCAGCGACCTCCTCTCCAAAGGTAGGCATCGTACCAAGCAACTCCCAGAAATGATGCCACATCCTTTTAATGTCACCAGACCAGAGTTGAGAACAGGGTCCAAATGCAAAAAGAAGAGGGGTCTGATGCAGTTTTTAAAAATACATTAATTCTGTTTCAGTAAAAGTATGAAAACACATTTTGAAAAACATTTTAAATCACACTAGACCATTTTCACTACACGTTTGGATCTTTTTCTGTTTTGTGAGCTTGCATAGAGGCAATTTCTATTAAGTATAAGATGTTTTGACCTCCATGCTAAATGCTTAATTAGAGAATTAATTTATAAATCCTACGCTTTTCCTAATTTTATATCTCCGCTTTCACGGTAACATGAAAAGTGCTCCAGCGTGAGCCAAAGGCAGGCTTGGGCATGGATTTCTCTTCTCTCTCTCTCAGTCTCTCTCTCTTTGAATTGGAGCCCCACTCTGTTGTCAAGGCTGGAGTGCAGTGGCACACTCATGGCCACCGCAACCTCGACCTGCTGGACTCCTGTGATCCTTCTGCCTCAGCCTTCCAAGTAGCCGGAGCTACCACGCCCAGCAGTTTTTTATTTATTGTAGAGATGAGGTCTCACCAAGTTGCCTGGGTGGGTCTCGAACCCATGGGCTCAGGCAATCCACTTACCTTGGCCTCCCAAAGTGCTGGGATTACAAACTGAGCCACCGCGCCCGGGCTCTCTCTCTCTCTCTCTCTCTTTTTTTGAGTCAGAGTCTCACTCCATCGCCAAGGCTGGAGTGCAGTGGCACACTCATGGCCACCGCAGCCTTGACCTACTGGGCTCCTGTGATCCTTTTGCCTCAGCCTTCCAAGTAGTTGGAACTACAGGGGCACTCTACCATGACTGGCTAATTTTTCTAATTTTTGATTTATTGTAGAGACAAGGTTTCGCCAAGTTGCCTGAGCTGGTCTTGAACCCGTGAACTCAGGCAATCCACTCGCCTCAGCCTCCCAATTTGCTGGGACAACACACTGAGCCACCGAGCCTGGCCTACATTTTTCTCTTTTAATGAAGGGACACTAAATTCCCAGAGGCACTGAGCACACACATTCCTTGAACACACTGTGGAGCATCAACTATGCTGTAACAATGCATCTTGGCTCTGATCATGAGACAGACACTAATAGGGTCCCCATTTTTCAGATGAGAAAACTGACTCTCAGAGGTTGTCTTCTCCAGAGTCACACTGCTGACCAGCACCAGCAATATAGCCCAGGTCTTCGAATATACATCATCGTGCTACAGCAGTATAGTGGTTGAGATTATCATCTGTCTCAAATACACTAGGCATCAGCCCCAACTGCTTAGATATTTGCTAACTGAACTAAAAGACAATAAGGAGAAGCTTAGATGTGGACAAACTTTGTGACCTCTTTCTTCATAAAATGCAGTGAATAGTACCTACCTACATACCTCACAGGGCTGTGGATAATACATGAGAATGTACTTCAAGGGCTTTTCTCAGAATCTCATACACACAACATGATCAATAAATGGTAGCTATTCTTGTTGTTGTTGTTGTTTCATCAGGTAACTGCCAACACAAAGCCCTGAAGTCAGATAGAGCTGGCCACGTTTGGGAAAAAAAGGAATTCTTGCCCTGTCTGGCGAGAATGCAGACCGAAGGACCAGATCCTACAAGGTCTCATGAGAGAGTTGGGAGAGCACTGAAGAAGAAGCAGCTCTCAGATCAGCACTTTCCAGATCTCCCAACCTCAGTATAGAGGATGGAAGCGGAAGGCAGGAGACTAAAGCCAGGGAGACTGGTCAGGAGGTGGCGAGGAGAGGACGTAAGGGAGGGTGGCAGCGTGGGATGGCTGAGTGGCAGTGGGTGCAAACACACCCGAGGGATTCAGGAGACACACGAGTGGAACACCTGGACAGGAGACTCGGCGACAGGTCACATGGTGGCAGCACGTGCATGTGGATGGGCAGACTTGAGAGACAGCAGGGCAGGAAGTGGGGGAGGAAATAGCTGAAGATGACCCCCAGGTTTCCAGCTTGAATGGCTGGATAGGAGAAGAGGAGCCAGGTGCCATCTCCTGCGAAAGGGAATTCTGGCGAAGTAACGGGTTGTATATACAGTGCGTCGTCAGACGCGCCCTGCAGTACTGACACCACTGCCCTAAGAAAGCCCGAATGGTACTCCACATCTTTAAAATAAAAATCAAAAAAAGAAAACCCCAACAGCTCAAATTCCCTATGTTTGACTGGGGGCAAAGGCGGCAGGAGGAACTTCTTGCCTCGGCCCCTTTCTGGTAACCAGATGAAAACTAAGCAAAATATAAATGGGAAATCATCTGTGGTCTCTGTGAGGCTGATATCTGAAAGCAAACACACACAGCTTCTCTCTCTGGGGCTGCCAAGAAAGCTCAGTCTTTTTAGTTATTTTGTAACATTTTTCTGCAAGATAATTGTGGGGCAATGGCGGGGGACCTTCCATGTTACCCGTTTTTGTGTATATTTGGGACTTATAAACATGGTTTATTAAACAAAGTATTTGAAATGCTTGACGTAGCTACCAAATGATCCAGGGTGACCCGGTATCAGGCCTCTGCCAATTTAAACTCTGTAATGGTTTGCCCCTTTTATCCGACAGGATTCAACACTGTTTCTGGTCTAATCTTTACCTTCAAATATATTCCCCACTGATGTGCTCTCAAGGAACAGAAATGACTTATTGACTAAAAATATAGAATAACTGGGAAGATAAATTTTGCTGTCAGAGGAATTATAAAATGTACATTTGCCTACAAGCTGCTTCCTGTGTGCGATGTTTTTTCTTCCCTTGGTAAACTCCTATTCATCCTTCCAAAACCAAGTTCAAATACTCTCTTGTCTTTGACAGTTTCTCTAAAACCCATAGACAAACATACTTAGTCATCTTTGTACTCATACCTGTGTCTATATTTATCTACTACGGTTTTTATCAGTAGAGCCACATGGTTAAGGCCACAGGCTGGGTTTTCACCCTGGAACTACCACCCATGATCTGATTAGCCTTAGGCAACTTCCCAACCTCTCCAAGCCTCAATTATCTTGCGTGTAAAGTCTAAATGGGCATTATAGGATTGTTGTGAGAATTAAGTAGCACAACATGTACACAGTAAGTGCTAGCTTATTGTCAAGCTGTCCTGAATCAACTGTTTGTATCTGTCTCCCCCTTTAAACACTGAGATCCATGAGGAGAGAGACCATAGCTTCTTGATTTTTGTCTGCCCCATGTTCACTCAAATGGCAGGTGCTCAGGAGATTTGATAACCAGATGAATGAGTGAAAGAATAATGGAGTGAAGCTCATTTGGCAATTCCTTTTTGTAATAAGATTTGTCTATATATATGATATCTTGAGGAAGGAACAGGTGAATCAATTTTGATTTTTTTAAAAGATTGCTCCAGAATAAAAGTATGGGAAATTTATTTCCCCAGGCAATATTTTTAAAGGTCTTAAAATCCATGTCAGGGGCAACCCCCTCGGGTCCTCTCCTACTGTGGGAGCTCTTCTTTCCTCTTAAGAAATCCTGCTTTAAAAAATAAAAAAAAGCTCTCTCTCTCTCTCTCTCTCTCTCTCTCTCTCTCACACACACACACACACACACACACACACACCCCAAATGTCAATTCCTGTAATGAGTCTCAGCTAAAAGTTGGCTAAATTATCCTTAGCACAATAGGCTAATAGCTCCAGAATCATTAACTCAATCAAGTAAATAATATTAATTTAAAGTACTCCATAATTATATATTTACTTGAGATATAATTATACACCATGAAGCAAACATACAATTAGATTTTTTTTAAAAAAGCATGTGCTCTGTCTAAAAGGAGAAAACATTAAGGCATAAACGAAATCCCAAAAATTGTTAAAAAGAAATCCAATCACTGCAAGCTATTTCTACAGCATTCTGGGGCTCAAAGCGTCACATAATAAGCACAGTGCTGGGGTATGTGACACTTCATGATGCTGTCTCCAGCCTTGCTGAATACTTCCTGAAGCTGCCGACCCCAGAGGACACACATGGATTACAGGGCTGCCACAATCCACCCAGGGGAGAAACAAGAGGCCAGAACATCACCAGGGCTGGATGCCATTCAGCGTTCATCTCGCCATCGTCCCTAGCATGAGAAGGGATGGCAGAAGCATCCATTTACTAAGCATAAGAGCAAAGGGCTCTGCAGAGAATAAGACCAAAGTGCCACATCCAGTGTTTCATGGTTCTTACACCCTTTTTGGAGGACAGGGGTATTTTGGTCTGTCATTTATTGTAGCACCTTATTATGACCAATGTTATTCATAGCTACCACTTGCTGAATGCTGACTCTGAGCAAGACACTGCTATCAAATTCATTCCTTACAACAAACCTACAAAAAAAAAGAAAAACTACTCACAAGCATTTTACTCAAGAGAAAACAGAGTCCAAGGAGAGGTGAAGTGACTTACCCAGGAAGAAGAACAGCTGAGATGTGAACCTGGGGTCCTTCTTAAAGTTTAAAGTTTGTATGCATTGTTTAATTTCCTCCCAATTAAAAAAATAAAATTTGTGTACTCTCCATTATACTACACTGTCTGATGACTGGTTATTAACAATATTTCCATCTTATATCGGTGGGGTGGTTACAGCTTCAAGTGATGGCTGTATTTTGCCAAGGTTAAGACATTCAACCCCAGGAGGCTACATAGCTAGAATGTGGGGCTCTCTGGTTCCCAGCCCCCAGCCCAGGGGCTAGTTTTCTGCCCCCTATTTCCTGTCCTGTCGCTGATGCGTGGTGGAAAAGGAAAGATGAAGCATGAACTGTGAAGTCACTCCACTATAGCCAACCCCCCTCTCCCGCCTCAAGCCCAAGCAGAAACACCTGGGAGCTGTGGTGACCTCATATGTGAGCTCCAGAAAGAACATGGGAGAAAATGCCAACCTTTAACCATGAGCCCTTTCAGATGCCCAAGTTGATAACACATTTCCCAAAAATCAGGTGGTTCTCGAAGGGAGAGAAATCTGACCAGACTCTGTGGTGCAAAAATGGGCAGCAGGAAGGAAGACCCTGACCGCCTGGCTACTGGCTTCTGTGCTGCTAACAGGGGCTTGTCGTACTGTCCCTCCTGGCAGGACCAAGGAAGGAGAGGGTACGTGACACTGGAATGACACTGACCAGATCAACGAACTTGAGGGTCAAGTTAGACTTGGGGCCCATTCATCCAGTCTTCCCTTATTGCCAACAGCAATGCCAAGAAATGTGAAAAGGTTCCCGCTATTCTGGGGCATAGCTATAAACCTTCCATGCAAAAATGGAACCAGTGTGTATACACACACGCACGCAGTGGATGGGTGCTGTGTTTATGTTGGGGGCGATGAGAAAGGCTTGAGTATAGATAGTGGTAATGACTACACAACATTGTGAATGTAATGAATGCTGTATAATTACAAATGGTTAAAATGATAGGTTATGTTAGGATATTTTACCGTATCATTTTTTAAAAAGGAACGGAAACAGAAGGTTAAACGCTCTGAAGCCCACCAATGAATCTAAAAACACAGAGGAGTCATGTGTCCATTTAACTCAGATTAAAAACATCTGGTTAGCAAGGTGCATCTCAGTCTCTAGGACTTCATTGTCAGCGTCAGTACTTTGGTTTCCTCAAGGGGGATATCGGCTATGAAAAGTCATTAAGGCTCAGTGCCTCCCCTGCAGTCCCAAATAGGTATTCCAGAACCTGCCTTTGAATACAGAGCTGTATGTCAGGCACTGTTTGGGACTCGAGCCTCTGCTAAACTGAAACAAAACAGAGTCTTATTTTGACAGTCTGTTACGTATGCAAATCCTGAGGAAAATGTTATGTGATTTATTCATTACAATTCCTGTCAACCAGTGTGGCTTCTAAGCATAAAAGCTAATCAAAATCAGAATGATGACCCTCAGCATGTAAAATCTTCCTGGACACAGCCTGTCTCTGCCACCACCACCACTTGCACCCCCAAAGACACAATCACATAACCATAGTGTAAAGTGACTGAGTTCAGGTTTCAAGGCCCAGAGATCTATGATGTAGACAGAGCCAGTCTCCCACGAGTCTATAAATGAAACCCAGTCCCACGTTTGGTCTTTTCCAACACTTGTTTTTATGGAAGACTCTGCCATCTGCATTCATTAAAACAAGACTCAGTTGCAGACCTAGCACTCCACTGAGCTAGAAGGAAGAAGAAATGGTTCTGGATCTCAGGGCCTGGAGAAGGTGAAAAGGAGGAAGACGTTTCCAAGTCATGCAACAATGAAATGCAAATTAATTAATTTAGTGCTGGGGAGAGAAAGGCCCGGGAATTGGATCAAAGGGATGTAGCCAGAGAAAAAACAAAGCTGAGATGAGACCGTCTTCCTGAGATGCCACTAAAGAGATAGGCCAGAGAATCCAGGTCTGCCGAATTATGGGCCCATGTGGGGAAGGATTAAAGTTGTAGAGCCATCCTGAGTCTAAGGGGCCATCCTGAGTCTTCCATCCTGTTGGAAAAGCCTTGCGGTCAGTGGACTCCGCTCCCTAGCAAAGTCAGGCTTACAAAGATGGAGAGTGTGTGGCATGGGTGGCTTTTCAGGGAGGAGTTGGCTTTTCATGCAAGGACACAGGGTAAGAGCGCACGCGTGTGTGTGTGGGCACATCCCCAACTGGAGCATGAAGAACAATAAAAAATGAAACTGGAGAGGGAGAGGGAGGCCAGGCCATGAAGAGTTTCACAAGGCTCATTCTACAATGTGTGTAGACAAGCAATGACCCCACACAAGCCTTCTGCGTGCTTTAAGGTCAGGCCGTCACTACTGTCTCCCTTCACTAATCTCCCTCAGCGGGTGTCATGAACATTATTTGCACTTGACTTTAGAATGTCCTGGGTTCTCTCTCCTACCTAGGCTTAAGTGCCTTCAAAACACGAAACAAATACTTATTTTGTATCCGTGGTGTTTAGCAATTCTTGGCACAGTCACTCTTTGGAGAAACATTGATCAGCCATGCTCGACACTGTTGTAGGCAACTGATCTTCTAGGACAAGTGAGGGCAGCCCAGGATAGATACTCAGTACAAAGGGGACCCCCCAACATCCAGAATTTATTTATAAAAAATAGTGTATTTATTCTCACATGTTTAAACTTCAGTCACCTTCAAAGTACTCTCCGTGTGATGCAATACACCTATTGAGACGCTCTTTCCACAGCTCAAAACAGTTTTGAACTTGTCAATGTTGATCCCTGCTGTTTTTGTTTCACCTCTTTCACATCAGCAAAAGGCATCCCTTTGAGGACTTTTTTCACCAAAAAAAAAACCAAAGTCATTCAGGGTAACATTGGGAGAATAAGGGGAGTGGGGCACAGGGTTTATGCCATTTTGGGTCCAAAACTGCTGAGACAGTGCAGTGTGGGCAAGTGTGCTTATAAATCACCCATCATGAAATGGGCAAACACATTGAAAGACTCTCTAAAAAAAAAAAAATCGCTGAAGCCAAATGCAGCCTCTCACAGCAATGTGAGCTGGTACACGGATGTCAGTGGGTTCCTAGAATACTTACCAAGCAAGGGAAGCCTGAACTACAAGAGGCCCACCCTCCAAAAAATAATTCTGGGTCTTTTGGAATCCTCCCCTCATATGTCATTCCTGACTCCTTTGGTAAACTGTTAAGTCCAGTCACAAAGTTTTTGGTTACACCATAGAAGCTATTCTTTAAAGATATCTTTTTTTTTTTTAAAGCAGGATTTATTGAGAGGACAGAAAAACTCCCAGGGCAGGAGGAAACCCCAGGGGGTTGCCCTCTTTAAAGATATCTTTATAGAGATTGCATTTTATAAATAAAGCACAGAGAGACATCTTCATATGTATGAATGCTTCTATAATGATGCTCTAGCTTTATTTTCTTTTAGAGGGAAGTTGTTCCAAATATCATAGATCCTTCAAGATCAAATAGAATTTTTATGAAATACTGTGTAAAATGTTTCACAGTCCTTCAATTATGAAAATGATGGCACTGACTTGGTCTCCAAACAAGAAAAATAAGTTCAAAAGATTTGCACTGAGCCAGGAACGGGATTTCCACATTTTTGTTTGATGTTAATTCACTTGCTCTTAATTAGGTAATAGATGGAATAAGATTCGGAAGGTGAGTTTACTGCAGTGGATTTTAAAGAGCTGCATGTAAAATCTCCATCATAGAACCATTTAGATCAAGCCATTCCACAGTGGCTTTATCAGTGCTTCTCACAGAGGGGTCACATCAAGAGCAGCACCTAGGAAGTTGTTAGAAATGCAGATTCTCACCCCTCCATTGTCTTATCGAAACATAAGTCTGTGTTGAACAAGCCCTGCAAGTGATTCTGATGCACACATTTGAGACGGTTCACAGAACACGCTAAAAAAACAAACTGCCTTGAACAAAACCCTCCCACATCTTATGGGGCATATTAGAGCAGAAAGAACATACTGACCAACCTTCTTGTGTGTTTCACAGATGGAGACACTGAGGCCCAGAGACTATACGTAGGCATCGGAATTTGGAGCCAAACGTGTCCTGGCATGTCAACCAGTTATCGTTCTGCAGATTTGAAATCAACTTTTACTTTCAAGGGTCCAGGCGTAGAAAGCCCATTCTTTCTGTCAATAGACCCAGATGAAGTGGCAGGACCAAGCATATCCAAGGCTAAGTCAAAAATATTTGAAGATATTCTTCAGGGGAAAAAATCTCATTTTAGTGATTAAATCAAGAATTCAGTAGCCAGAAATACCAGGCTCGATGTTCACACCTAAGCCAGCTCTCAAAATTCTTTAACCAGCCTGAAACTAGGAATATTTCTCTGCCTAGTCCAAAAAGTTCCTTAAAGGGATAATCCAGCTTTTCAAAGTAATACTGTCAGCCCAGGGTAATTTTAAGAGCACAAGCCTTAAACCACTTGGACGAGTTACCATACCTCTCTGTGCCTCAGATTGTTCAACTGCCTCAGAGGACTGTTGAGAGAATTAAGTGATATACTATATATAAAGTTCTTAGCACAGTGCAAACGCTCTCATTATTATCCTTATTAGTAACAGTATTACCAAACCTATGGTGTGGACTGTTTATATGCTAACCTTCACTAATGAAAGAGGCACATTTACTGAATGTCAGAAATAAATTTCCATTCATACTGGTGTGTCTGGACTGGTCTCACCACACTGCTTCAATCCTGATGCCCAAGTAGCAATAAGGAAGTGTCAAAGGCATAATTTTTGTTACAGTTTAAGGGTAGCCAACTGCCCTACTTAGCAGTTGAAGCCTCCAATTTGAGCCTCACGAACAATGTGCCAAGAAGCAACTGGCCACCAGTGAATTTGAGACTCCAACTTAGATGGTATTTCATTGACAGATACACTTTTCTGTAAATATCCTTGCCCAAGGGAAGGCTTCAGAATATCTCTTAACAGCCTAATAAATATTTTGTGAATAAAAGCATCCAGAGTTTATAGTTTTCACATCTATATGCCTAAGGGTAAAGGCTTTAAGGGTATCGTTTAGGAGAAAAAATACCCTGTTACATCTTCAATAGTGTGACCCAGGGCTAAAACTCCTTACCCGGCTATGAAACTTGGCAGTCCGATAAGACTTGGGTGACAGGTTGTACACTGTGTAGTGGTCAAGATGTCTGGAATCCAGAAAGCTTCGAATGTCATCAACCTGATTCCTGAATCCTATGTCAACATTGTCCAGAGGAAAGGACATCACTAAGAGAGGTCACACATAAAGAAAACAGGTTAAACAGGTCTGATGTTGCGATGGACAGCAATTAAAAGCTCAGCCAAAGAGAGTTGACAAATGTGAGAAACATACCAATAATTCTGGAGGTAACATAAGTGAAGTCTAAATCTCCCTTTGTGTAGCTAAAAGCAAGACAAGAAAAGACACTCATTAAAATGATCCAAATATGCCAGATATGTCTTTCTCTCAATCACCTGCCCACCATGCACTGGGACACCTCTGTCCATTGGGCATATTTTTACTCCCCTCTAGCCCTTCTCTCTAGCAAAGAGGCATCACTAGGAGAAGACGGCCCATGGCTTTAGGGGTATAACATATCGCTCTAACTGGTATGTCCCAATGCCCATGTAGACACCACTTCATGAGCAGAATCAGACTCAGAATAGAAAGCACTGCTTATTTATCAACACTGACTATTCCTGCCTCCTTGCCTACATAGAAATATCTCCCATAGTTGTAAGCAGCTAAGGCTTAGGAGAAGTGATGGAGAAAGAATACATGACAAACTTTTTCTGCCTAACAGGCCCTTGTTGGGAACTGGAGGTAAGGGCAAATTGTACCTTTGAACAAAGACTAAAACATTGATTAATATATTGGACTTGACCTTTGAATTTATGATTTAAAACTGCATATTGTAACAAAGTAATCTTAGAATTTTCTTATACCTAAGTATAAAAAATAATTCAATGACCAGCTTGTAAGAATTTTCACACAGTGGAAGAGTAGAAAACTTTTCCCACTAAGTGAGTTAGAGGGCTGATAGAATATAAAAAAACCAAGTTGTGTTTCATCTACAATCCATAGGCATCGTTTATCTAGACGCATATGCACTATTATCTCACTTAGTCGTCAAACCACCCAAAGACGCAATCCTATCAGGGTATAAAAGTAAAGCTCAGAGAGGTTAATTAATTTGCCTTGGGCCACATGGTTGACAAGGGCAGTATTGCCTGAGAAAGCCAGAGATGGCAACCACCATTTAACACACCAGTGAGCTGTCTTCCCAGCCTGTGCTTTTAGCTTCTAAAAGACTCAGCTTTAGGACTTCAATGACACTCCACAATTGATCAGATTCCATGTAATTATATCACAAAATCGACACACTGTGAGCCAGACAAGCATTGGTAGGGGACCAGGTCCTTTGGAAGCATGGGGCAGGAGTCCACTAACCGAACTGGGAGGAATGTGCATACCTGCTAACAGATTGTATCACTCTAGAAGATGTGTCTTTGAGGGTGTCTTTCAAGTTGTCCTTCAGGTTACTAAAAAGTCTTCCGGCACCTCCTTTTACCATGTCAAAGAGACCTCCCCCATAGCTGGGCTCCATGTCTGGAGATGAGGCACCTGCCAAGGAAAATCACAAACGGAGGTGATGACACACAGCCCGCTGAAAACCAGCCCCCTCTATTCCCAAAACACACACACAGGCTGTCGTTGGGAGTCTGGGACAGATATTTCTGGAAGTCATGCCTCACTCTCAGAACTTATCAGCTCTGAGTTCCAGCAATGCTGCTGGGCCTTAGAGGGGACCAAGATTAGTCCCTCACAGAAATCTCCAAAACTCTACCATCCGATGCAGTCGCCACCCGCGACATGTGGCAGTTGAGCACTTAAAATACAGTGAGTCCAAATTGGAATGTGCTATAAGTAGACAACACACAAACAATTTCAAAGACTTGGTGCAGGAGAGGCACAGTGGCTCAGGCCTATAATCCCAGCATTTTGGGAGGTCGAGGCAGAAGGAATGCTTGAGCCCAGGAGTTCAAGACTAGCCCGGGCAACACAAGAACCTGTCTGTATTATAATCAATTAATAAATTAAGAGACTGATATAAAACCAAGGTACCCTTCCAACCATCTCTCTTTCTTCTCCTAATACCATCCTGAATTTTATACTTCTTATTCCAGTTAATTTATTTAAACTTGTACTACATGTTTGTATCCATAAAAAACACATTACTTTCCATGTTTTTAAGCTGTACATAAATGTTTTTCTGTTTGCATTCTTCTGCAACCTTATTTTTTCACTCACTATTGTCTAAAATTCATCTATGCGGGCATCACATGCAGCTTTAGTTCATGTAATATAGATTAATTACCCCATTGATGGACACTTAGGTTGTTTGTTATTATTAGAAACACTCTGATTACATATGGGAGACTTTCTCTACATAATACATAGGAGCAGAATTCACTAGGAGGTAAGGTATGCATGTCTTCAAATTTCTAGATACTGACAAATCATTTTCCAAAGCAGTCTTATCAGCTTAAACTCCTGCAAGTAGCATTCTTCTTGACACTTGGTATCATCGGATGTTCAAATTTTTACCAGTTTGACAGATACAAATCAGTATCTCAATTTGGTCTTATTTTGTTGATTTTCCTGATTACTAATGAGGTGAGGTATACTTTATCGTGTTTATTGGCCAGGCAGTTGCTCTTTAAGTTATATTTCAGGAACCTACTACAACCCTGCATGCCATTTAGATGCTCATACACAGATGTATAAATACATGTTGACCTCCATGTTCTTCCATCCTGATCACAGGAGCTATTGGTATCTAAGTCAAACAGATACCTATCTGAAAGTGAAGTTCTATCAGAAATTGCAGAGAATAATGAATGCTAGTGAATCAACAAATGAATGGACACAGGGACAAACTAATACTGTCTCTCACTTACTGAACTCTCCCAGGCCACAGGAAATCTGCTTGGACCTTTACGATAGTATAGGTCCATACAGTGGGAGAGTGGGAGTGAGCATTATCTTCACTTTACAGATGAAGAAATGGAAGCTCAAAGAAGGACGGTAACTTGCCTAAGTAAGACCTCAGTTAACAAGCGGAAGAGCCAGTGATGCAAATCCAGAGCTGTGTGGTCCCAAAGCCTATCCTCATCTGCCATCCTCACTATTCCTCAGCTCTGCATCAGCTCTGGGTCCCGACTGCTGTAACCAAGATGGCCCTCGCCTGCCTGTACCCAACTGCCTCCCTCCTATTCCCTGCTCTCCTCAGCCTCCCTGCATGCCTTTCATCTGGCTGCTCTCAGCGGCAAATGCCCCTGCAACAAGCACCCTCATAAATCACTGTGTCTGTCAGACCAGCCAAACCAATCTCATTATGTAGGCAGCCGAGCCTCTGGCACCCCTACTGCCTCACAGCCCTGAATAAAATGGCAGAAACAGCTTTCAGGGGCAGCTCCACGGAGGAGGGCTAGTGCGACAAATCTGAGAACATTCTCTTGTGTCCTGTTTCCCTATGAAATAGGGCACATCATTTCTCCTTAAACACACCCTGTGTAAAAAATGTGTATTGTGTTTTCATTTCAAGTATAGTGGGGATAAGGCAGCATAAAATGTTATCATTCCCTCATTTCCATCCCAAATCACCACTCAAGCCTGAACACCCTCCTGATATATCACTATTCTAAGAGATGACACTAAATTGATCATCCAGACATCTTTTCAACTCTCAATTTTGTGCTGGAACAGAAGTCTGAGGCACCAACCTATTAATAGATAGAAATATCCTTGATTGTCCAAAATTGGGCTCTCACCATCCCTCAGGCTGCATTGTTTGCTCATTAGAGCCTTAAAATACCACAGAAACCAGAGCTACTTGCCAGCCCATCTGTAACCTTCCTATACCCAAATTATATGCTGAACTAGCCAGGACACACACAAAAGAAGAAGGACGTTATTTGATGTTGTCCTAACGCTTCTTTTAGGCAGGCATTCTGGCTTTCCCTGACGAGCTACCCCAGTGCCAAAAGCTCAGATTCTGCAAAAGATATTTTAGCCTCAGCTAGTTGAGAGAAAGGGCAGAGAGGTTTCAAAAAATGTCACAACAAAGAGAGAAATGGTGTAGTCAGAGAGCAGGAGAAAAATAATCACCACAGGGGATCAGGAGTTAACAGACTATGGCCCATCAGCCAATCCAGTCCACTGCCTGTTCTTGTACCGTCTGTGAAATAACAATGGCTTCCACATGTTTAAATGATTTTAATAAGTCAAAAGAAAAATAATGTTTTGCAGCATGAAAAAGTAATATAGAGGTTGGATTTCAACGTCTAGAAGTAAAGCGCTCATTGTTTACTTATTGTCCATGGCTGCTTTTGTTCCGTGATGGCAGTTAAGTAGTTGTGACACACATTCTAGAGGATTTGCTATCTGATCCTCTACAGACCAAGCCTTCCACCCCCAGCACCAGATGGTTGGCAACACTTGTGTTCTTACAAATGCAGAGCTTGTCACTTCTCACAACTTTCTAAATACCTTGGCAAAAATGACACCAATGGGAAAAACACTCTTTGGTCTTACTAAAGGGTCCTTGAGGGTCTAAGCAGGTGGGGGTGGGAAGATCAGAGCTGAGAAAGCATGAGAGTGCTGTCCAAAAAAGAAAGGTCCAGGTCTCTGCCTCCAAGGCTCCAAGCAGATTCTTGCTCCCTGATGTCTTGTTTGAAATCCTAAGTCCACCAAAGACAAAAGTTGTACACAGTATAATCTCTTCTTTCTTTTTTTTTTTGAGTTGGAATCTCACTCTGTCGCTCAGGTTGGAGTGTAGTGGCACGCTCACGGCCACCCCAGCGTCCACCTGCTGGGCTCCAACGATCCTTCCGCCTCAGCCTTCCAATCAGCCAGAACGACAGGTGCATGCTACCACGTCCGGCTAATTTTTGGTTAATTGTAGAGACGAGGTCTCACCAAGTTGCCTGAGCTAGTCTCAAACCCACGGGCTCAGGCAATCCACTCGCCTCATTCTCCCAAAGTGCTGAGATTACAGGCTGAGCCACTGAGCCTGGCCACCATGTTATTTTCATAGAAGAAAAATATTTGAGTTTAGAGAAAAATTCAGAAGACATAATCAATATAAAATAATAAATACTCAAACTTAATGAACGCCTACCCTATACTAGGCCACTGATTTAACTTTTTGTATGTAGTAACATGGTCTATCTTCACAACCATCCCGTGAGGGCAATACAATTGCTATCTTCACTTTGCACATGAGGAAGCCAAAGCAAGGACACACCAGTCATTTGCCCAAGGTAACTCAGCGAGCAGGCCAGGATGTGTCCCAAGCAGGCTGCTCCTGAGTCCAGGTTTCTATTCACGGCATTTCAAAATAGTTATGGTAATTATGTCTAATTGTATCTGGGAGAATGATAAGTGGTTTTTGTTTGCATGATTGGATCTTCTAAATCTTCTGCAATTTATATTCATTTGCTTTACAATTTAAAATGTTACAAAAAATAAAGACGGCAGCCAAGCGCCACGCGATCAAAGTTCAACGTGTTCTTCCTCAGCAGCTGTGGAGAGTTCCCTGCTCTATGCCTGAGTCATCGTAGCTCACAGTCACACCAGGGTCTCACCCCGGCCTGGGAAGGTGGGCTGCCCACGAGCTCTCCAGTGGCCTGTGTGGCTCCCTAGAACCAAGCAGGCGGGGGGCTTGCCAGGAGCACCTGACTCCTTGTAAGACCTGAGACCCTGCTTCACCGTGGTCGCAACTGTCTCAGCTCTGGCATCCATACTCCACATGAGCTCATTTGTCAAGGACAGGGAGGAGATGGCAGAGGTCTCTTGGTAACAATATCGGCTTTCCTCAGTGGGTCCTCTGAGACACTTCCACAGAACATCACCTTCCCTCTCTCCAGAAAGTCTTTGTTGTCCAGTTCTAGTAACTGCGAGTTGTTATCCCATCGTGTTCAGGAGAGAGAACTGATAAGCTGAACTTTGGCATCAGGATCTTGTCATATTCGCGTTTCTGTTCACCAGTGGGCATTCTCTTCTGTGGTTATTTACGTGTCATGATGTTAAAAATGTCTAGTCTTGGCTTCCACAAAGCTGACGACTGCAGGATAGAAATCCCTGAAATCAAAGCAAGCTCTGCAGAGATGCACTGTCAGACCCTGCCCTGGGGAAACGCCATTCCTTCTCCACAAAGGCTTGGCAAAGAGCAAGGAACCAATTTCACTACCATGAAAGGCTTCAGCATCCTCGTTTAAGTTCTTGACTTCCCAGCAGTTAAAGAAATGGATCATATGGGGGTAACAACGAGATCTACCAATGAAAAGCCCATTGCCTTGGCTTCCAGAATCAAATCCTGCTTGAACACCATTCCCCATCCATCCTGCTTCAGGGAAGCGCTGGAGAAAGAAGATGGGCTTTAAGAAGAACAGTCTTAGATGTGAGGCTTGCATTTTCAGCTTAAAAACTGTGTGACCTGGGAATATACCCGGAGGAACTCAAATCATTCTACAGAAAAGATACCTGCACACGTATGTTTGTTGCAGCTCTGATCACAAGAGCAAAAACATGGAACCAACCGTGTTGCCCATCGAAGCTGG